ACATGGTTTAGTGGAATGGCAGGGTTAGGCTAAAGGTTGGACTCGATGATCTCAAAGGTCTTTTCCAACCAAAGTGATTCTATGATCAAAGTCAATACCTCACTGGGTATGGTCCTTGATAGCAGCTTGTGCCAGTGTTTTGTGTCCAGAGGCTCAGGGCCTCCAAGGAATTCTGCATTTTTTTTAAAGGCAAAGTTCTTCAAAAACACAGAGGACACGAGGGCATGGCAGTCCTGCTGGGAATCTACACAGTTCTTGCTGTAAGAAAATCTCATGTATGGGTATTAGTTCTGCTTTGCAGGCTGGGGAAGGATGCAGAGGATGAGCAAGGTGCTGTGGAAGCCCAGTTGCCGGTACTGGGGAGTCAAGTTTCCAGCTGGGAGCAAAAGCTTGCAGGCTCTCATCTTCCCTGGCCTCACAGGGCTGGAGCTGCTGACCTGGGGCTCAGCTCCAGGCTGCAAACTCCTCTTGACCCCATGTCTGCGGTGCTGTGAAGCCTGGGAGATTTTGCTCAGCAGTAGGTGCCCTCGGCAGCACCTGGCAGGTGTTGATGGTTTCCCCACTCTGTCTTCCTCTGGCTTTTGGACTTAAATTGCATGCTATGGACCAGACATCGCACCTGTAAAGCACGGCCAGGCTTCTGTCCCACACCCTCTTGCAGGAGAGGCACTCCATAGCCATTCAGAAACAAATAGGGATAACAGGACACCAGCCATTTTCATCCTGTCCTCTGCGGCACCTGACATTCTGAAGAAAATCCCCAAAGACTGAATTAGGACTTTTATTTTTCCTCCCCCCCCCGGCTAATTTCAGGTCTCCTCTACCAAATGGTCTGTATCATAACTTCATCCTCTCCCATCTGGGCATCTGCTGCATGTGCTGTTTCTGCGCTGGCCCCGTGAGCAGGCAGGGCACTGAAGCATAGTGAAAGAGCCTGTTTTATCCAAGGAAAGGAATTCCTTTTTATATTCCAATATCCTGTCTGCTGCCAGGCGCTGGGTTGAGTGTCTGCGAACCAATTGTGCCTGCAAACTGGAGCTGAGTCAGCATGTCTGGTTATTCAGGCTCATGCGCTGGAGCTGCCTCTGTCTCTTGCTTGGTGGAGTGAAGTATTAGCAGGACAATGCCTGGCAGAAAACCAAGATGCGCAGGTGCTCTCCTTGAGAGATGGATGCTTTCTCCCATTGCCCTTGCAGGGGAAGAGCTGCCTTCCCCTCAGGTTGCAGCAGGGGAAGGAGCTCTGCCTGCAGCCTCTTCCAGTTTCCCCACTGGGAAGGGAGCCGGACCAGCTCTTTCTGTAGGGTCAGCAAAGTGGTGGCCTCCACTGCCTGCACCAGCGCTGGAGCACGTGGCAGTGCCGAGAAATACAGAGCAAAGAAAGGACTATCACATGGAGCGGTAGGGTTTTCCTGCCCTGAAATCGTGGTGGGATACCCTACAGAGCTGTGGCTCTGTCTGTGCATCCTCCTCACATTTTCATCAGTACCGCCTGGACTGTGGACGTTATGCCCTTCTGCTGCTGCTGTCACTTTTCCATCTGCTTGTTCATGGAGAAGCAAATGAATTTTTGTCCTCTGCATAGCTCAGAGAGGGGAAGAAGGGCTTCGTGTTGATTTTTGTGTAAAATATGCCCATCTGTTGGCATATCATGTTTAAAATGATGGAAAAAGAAAAGGAAAGTCCATTTGCTGAACTGAAACACCTGTCCCTGCCTCTGCCCAGGGATGGTTTTGACCCCAACATTTCCCATTTCTCTTGGTCAAAAAAACCCCGTAGTTGTTTGAGGCAGAAAATTAGTAGGATGGCTTGTTGCAAGAAGAATGTCTGGTTAATGAATTCCTACAGAGTATTGTTAAACATCTGGTGAATGTACAGCATTTTTGTGTGTCAATATTTTGATTTTTGTCCTTGGTGGAAATACATGTCTCGAAGGAGTGATCTGCTTTTCAGGAGAACCCCACTGCTGAGTCCAATTCTTTTCCTCACCACCGAAATTCTTGGAGGTCAGGAATGCTGCCAGATCTGCCAAGTCTGCCGTGCGGCATGAGTGCGGTGCATAGTTTGGTTTGCTGGTTGGTCATGGAGGTCTTTCTGGTAAGGATGGCTTTCCTGCAGCTTGCTGCTGGGACCGCCTTGTTCTCTTTATGATTAGGGGGAAAACTGCTCCCTTGATGGAGAGCCAGGCGTTCCTACGGCAAGAACAGATGGAAATCAGCTGCGATGGATTTCCCGTTTTTTTAAAATATCCACATTTCTACTGCAGGGAGTGGTGGTCCTGTGGGGAAGGAGTTATGTTGCAGCATGAGTGGGGCAGCAGCCTGTGGAAGAAGCTGCTTGGATTTTTCCAACCTGGTGAAGATTTGTTATCCTGGGTGAAATGCTGTTAAAGCAGGCTGTGCTCTGCTCAGTCCGCAGGCGATCAGCACTGAGAGCGCCTCTAGCCCAAAGCTTGGGTGCAGACTGATGTGTATTTGCTTTTACATTGTAATTCATTCATCATGATGAAGGCTAGTGGCCTTTTAATCTGCTGGACTGGGGAAGGAGAGGCATGTTTCAGTGAGGGGTTGCGCAGGTGATTTTTATGCAGTATTTTGCAGGACTGTGGTTAGTTGTTCCCCTTGGCCTGCCTGGCAGCATTTTTAAAACCTTGTTGCCTTAATCTCCTCTCCGTCAGAATGGTTGCTATTGGGTTTTTCTTTCCTCCCTCAGAACGTGAGGGGTTTTTCATTTTTCCTAGTGTTCTGTAACTTCTCCCAGGGCAAAGCTCTGCTTCACTTGCCCCACCTTCTCCCAAAATGCAAAACTCAGGCATTTTTCCCAAAGCCAGGAATGCTTTGTAGGGAGCCGAACTCATGTGCTTTGGCGGTGAGGGGTGGGATGTCTCGCTGTGTCTTTGGCTGTGCAAAGAGCACAGACCTGCTCTAGCAAATACCAAACCAGAGAGGGCTTATTTGCCCCTCCCTACCGTTCTTCAAACACAGTCTATCTTTTCAGTGGGAGTAATTTTTTTTTCTCTTTGAGCTGCTGTGTCCTTCTGAACCCTCTCCCCAAGCTCTGTGTAGAGTTAGTATTTGCAGCTCACCGAGGAAGCAGTGCGTCCATCATGGGAACCTGGCACCTTTCGGATGTAATTCACTGGCGGAGCGTTAAATATTTTCTCAGCCATGCTTCAGTGTCAGTATCAGGAGAGATTTTCGTTCTTCTTCACCCCCACTGTCTGCACTCTTTCTCTGATGACAAGTATCTTGGGAAAGCTGTTTTTGTGAAACCCTTGACATATAGCATGACTCTTCTGTCCTAGCAGTTCATGTCAGAGAGCCTTTAAACTTCCTCCAGTGATGTGATTTTTTTTTTTTTCTTTCTTCTTTTCTTTGTGGCTTGTCACAGTTGCTGCTCCTCATCTGTAGAAATAGCATGACCTTCTGTCCTAGCAGTTCATGTCAGAGAGCCTTTAAACTTCCCCCAGTGATTTGATTTTTTTTTTTTTCTTTCTTCTTTTCTTTGTGGCTTGTCACAGTTGCTGCTCCTCATCTGTAGAAGGAGAAGGGAAAGATTGGAAGTGAACTTAAAATGTGGTATTTTTCAGTTTGCTTATCCGTTTGTTTGCTGGAGGAGCCGTTACAAACTGATTAAACACTGATCCTTCAGTGTAGGGACCTGGTGGTGAATAGAGGTGCTGCGGATCTTTCAGCAGCTGGGATGAAGGAGAAATAAATATAGATTAATTTCTCCTGGAGGTGTGCTGGAATTGTAGCTCTCCGAAAGCAATTTGGTCTTTGCAGTTATCAGTCTGAACGTGGCTAGAAAAGAAAAAGTCGATAGCTGGAGCAGTCCACACCAGCTGGGAGTGGAGTGGGTAGCAGAGGGGCTGCAAGATCCTGGCTCTACCCCTGTTCTGCACTGCGATGGAGCTCAGGTGCTGGGGAGGTGTGGGGGGGATCCCTGCCTGGGGGCTCCCCACAGGTGCCCCTGGGGTGCCCTTACCTCAGGAGCAGGCAAGACCTGTTAAATCTGTTCCTCCAGCTTGTACGGGTCTCTGGCTAGCTGCGGAGAGAGTGTCTTCCTAATCAAACACGCCAGACCACGTATTGCCGAGAGGGGGTGAATCTGCAGGAGCCCTCCCTGGTGCGTCTCTCCTGCCTGCCTGCTCAGCTGAAGGCATCTTTCAGCTCTTCTGGGTGGAAACTGGGGCATCTCTGAACCGGCTTCTTTCATCTGCTTCTGAAAGTCCTTACATCTCCCTGCTTAACATTTCGGAGGGTTATTTTGGTAGTAAAAACAAGAGCATTGTAGGCTGGGATGAGCGGTACTCAGAAGGTAACCCTGCCTTTGTACTGCCCTCCTTTTTGAGGGCGGTAATGAGGTGAGCTGGTTCCTGTCTATATAGATTGGGCAGCACTATAAAAAAGGCAGATACGTTTTCTTTTGATGCTCTGACCATATTCCTGGAAGGTGTGCAGGAATCTGCTTGAAAATGAAGTTGAGATCAACATAGCTGTTTGGGCAGGCTCACCCCAGCACGGCCAGGAGGTACCTCTCTGAGACCAGTAATTTTCACCTCAAAAATTTCTCCTGAAAAATGCTGCAAGAGTGGCAGCATTTCAACAAAAATTTTTGAGTATAAATACATAAATGCTGTTACATTCAGTAGCCAGGAACTGTTAGTTCCCGATTTGCTTTTTTACAGTTGATCCTTATCACCCATTGAAACAAAGCTTGACTTTGTTCTGAGCAGCTGGTGGGAAGCAGAGTATGCATATATATGTGCATGTTCACACACACATATATAAAAAAATAAACATATATTTTGGGGGAGTTGAAAATCCACAAGAGTTTTACTCTTGCCAGAATGCCACCAGATGTGAAGTCGCTTTGCAGGATGGCACCTGCCTTCTTCAGTCGTGCAGCACAAACTCGTGCACATCCTTTGCATGAAATATTGTTGCTTTTCTGTTCCCTTGCAGTGGCAGCTGAACCATGCTCTTGTTTTTGTCTTACAGGAGGAGCCGGCTCCCGCGGTGCAGGGCCGGAGGTCATCGCTCAGTGGGGTGTGCTATCTGACCATGGGTCTCCTCGTACTGCTCCTGGGCTTGGTCTTTGCATCGATGTATGTGTACAGATACTTCTTCATCACCCAGGTAGGGACGTGTCGGGAGGGGCTGCTGGCTCTTCAGCCAGAGCAGCCAGGCAAGCTGCCTCAACTTTTGAAAGAGGTGGGGCTGTCATTTATTGCTTTTGACTGACTTTTGAAAGAGGTGGTGCTGTCATTTATTGCTTTGGACTGCAGTAACTCTGGAGCCAGTCCTCTGGGCACTGCAGACGAGGCATGTCTTACATGGTAGGCACAGGCTCACCTCCATCCTGACTGCCAGGAAGGGCCTCCCAGAAGCCCTCCTCTTCCCCTATGGCTTTGTTTTGCTTTTTTTTTTTTAAAATTCCATAAAGATTCTGCCTTTCTACCCATTCTACCATTTAAACCCAACATGACTGCTGTCAGGGGTAAGGCAGTCTGAAAGTGTGGCTGCTTGTGAAGGGAGAGCAAGCCCTGGGGAGAGCAGGGAGGTACAGGCAAGGGAACAGCTTTTGCAGTAGGTTTTTTAGGTCCTAGCACAGCAAAGCTCTGTAAGCGTAACAAAAATAGGTGCTGCTATTAATAAAGCAAGTGGAGAAGTGAAAAGTGAGTGAGAGGTGGTATGGAGGCTGAACCCTCAATCTCCATTAAATTCATCCATGTAGTCTTTGCAAAACTTGGCCTAGCTGAGGCACTGGGCTGGCAGTGTTGTGGTAGATCAGAGCGTAGGGAATGAAACAGGTCAGAGCTGCTTTTTAAGGAGGTAACTGCTGAGCTCTGTGGCTTGCTGAGTGTTTAGCCAAGAAACCCCAGAGCATCAATTTGCACTGAAGCCCTTGTTCTGCTGCAGAGCAGCTATTAGTGAATGAGTTCTCCCAGGACCACCGGCTGCCTTCGTCTCTGCAGCCAGCACTTATCCAGTCAGCAGTATAGTCTTTTTATACACTCCCTTGCTCCATAAATTTTCTTGCTGTCAAATTAATTTGCAATCTTTGTTTTAAGATACATCAGTGCTTGATTAGCTGTGCTCATTTATGCCTGATCTGGAAATCCTGTGACAACCATAGAGCTACTCAACTGTCCCATATGCTGCTGTGTTAGTGTGACAGGACCCTGTTGCAGGGCTTTTGGTGTAGACACTTCCCTATAAGAAGAAGCCCCTGCCACTGAGGGAAAGTTACCAGCCAGTTTACAGACAGAGTTCAGTCCATCACCCAGTTAATAACCTACCCTTGGCACATGCTGAGCAGCTCTGGGAGATGCCCACTGGCCCATTTTGGGGCCACCTGTTGTCAACCCCACTGCCTGCTGGCGATACCAAATGGCAGCTTATATCCAATTACATGGCAAAGCCCATTCAGTATGGTCAGAGATGCTTTGGGGACCAGGGCAATGGGACCTTCATGTCTCAGTCTCCAACGGCTGCAGTTTGTCCCTGTGATCTTTGTGCTCAGGCTTCATCACTCTGTGTTAGCTCTCTTGCCCATAGAAGTTTGTGCTTCTAGAGCCCTGGAGAGCAGCAGCTCCTGTTTTGCAGTGAGGCAAAGCTGCTTTGTTTTGGTGCATATATGCAAGCTATAGGTGCCTTTAGAAATGATACTCCACTCACCCCAAGCTTATATGCCTTATGTAGAAAAATGCAGTTACTGGAAGCTGTGTCTATGGAGGGATGTGAACAGCCTGGTTGTGAAATTTAAGAGCCTATGGGCAGTCAGTTTGCCTTTCTGAATTACCCCTTGAGGAATCCTACAGGGAATCCTTTACTCCCTTTGGACCTGGCTAGCCTGAAGGGAGACGTGGTCATTCCACAAGGGCATTCTGCACTACCTTCATCAAGAATGGTTTCTGGTAAAAAGACTGATCTTGAAATATTGCCAAGCATCTGCTTGAAAAGGGTGTTTTTACCCAGTATGGCTACGTTTCTTCCTGTGTTTGCTGTAGTTGTTAGTGGGGTGTATGAGTGTTGTACCTCCACCTGGATCTCATCCCCACAGCTGCCCCGTGAGAGTGTCTTTCACTGCGGTGTCCTTTACGAAGACTCGCTGTATTCACCATTCAAAGGGCAGCTGGAGTTGCACGAAGATGTCAAGATTTACATTGAGGAGAACTACGAGCAAATCAACGTCCCAGTGCCCCAGTTTGGAGGGAGTGACCCTGCGGATATCATCCATGATTTCCAGCGAGTAAGGAGCTCTTGAGGCTTTGAGGGCATAGCATGGGGCTGAGCTGGGGTACATCAGCATGGTGCTTATACCCTAGTGCTATCGCTCTTGTCACATATGTCTACGATGACCTTCTTACTGAGCTGTCCTCCTTCCCAAGGCCCTCTCTGAGATTTTCCAACCTGCTCATCTTGCTTGGTAGGGAGGTCCTTGGACGGGTTTGTTGCTTAAAGCAGTTTCCTGTCTTCCCTGAATTCCCTCATTTCACCCATCTTCACAGCCACGTTTCATTGCAAAGGGCTGAATTCCTTAATTTCTCTACTTGGAATGCAGGGTCTGACAGCTTATCATGACATAACGCTGGATAAGTGCTACGTCATTGAGCTGAACACCACTATCGTGATGCCTCCTCGCAACCTGTGGGAGCTGCTGGTTAACGTGAAGGTATGACTGCCATCTTGCTTATTTTGCATGCTTTTCTTGAGTTGGCTCCTGAGTGCCAGCTAGAAGCTTGTGGGAAACAAAAACTGCTGTGTCTGTGGCAGTGAGCCTTAGCCCTGACACAGAGTGAAGCCTTCAGGGGGTTTAGCTGAAATACTAATTTTGCAGGCAGCATGATAACACTGGTGTGATGGATAAACCTGACCAGGGTGACACAGAGAAGCAGCGGATTCCTTCCCTCTGGTGTTTTTCTGATAGTAGAAATCAAGGAAGAAAAGAAAATTTTCCCTCCTTACACTCTTGCCATGGTTACTGCTGTGGTTTGCCATTTGCAGAGCTCTGTGTCCCTTGGGGAGTACCAGGTCTTCAGCTTTCACTCTTTGTGGGGGGAATCTGTGCTGCCCTCCCTGCCGTGCTGCGGGTTGCAACATCAGACTTGGGCTCATGCAGTTTTGCTCACAGCAGCCATCAATTCAGTTTAGTACCAGCAGGTTTGTTCCATTCAGAAGCCTGTGCCGCTATTGCAGTGACTGAAAACAGTCATCTTAAAATAGAGTACTATTTAATCTTAGCAACAGGGGAAAAAAAAACCCAGGATTTTTAAGACTGCAGGTAAAGCAAAGCACTGAGCCTGGGTCTTTTACGCCCTTCTGTGACAGTCTATTTAAAAGAAAAGAAAAAACAAAACAATCTAACTCTTTCTTAAATTCCCTTTGCTTACTTGCTGCTACATGCAGTGTGATGAACTTCGTAGGAGGTAAGCTCAGAGCCAAAAGGTTTTGCCTTGAGAGATGCCTGATCTCCAGTCCTTGTCAAACTCCTAGTTTGTTTCCTGGCAGTCCTCACAATTTCATGTGCTGTGGCTGTCTGGCAAATGTGCTGGGAACCCTGCTGGGGTACAACACACATTTACATACAACTCTCTCCAAACCAGCCACAGCTTCTAGCCGTGGCAGGTGACCAGTCCCTGGGGCAGAGAGAAATAGAAGAGGCAGGATTGCTCAAGCTGACAGCAGAGCCCCAGAAAAAAAAACCCAAGAAATTGGGGATGCTGGTCACACCCTAAAATAAGAGATATAAAATCACAGTCAATGAAAATCATGCTTCCTCCATATCAGAAATTGAATTTAAAAGGGGATAAAAATTCAGTTAAAATGGTCTTACGTGTTTGATCCTTTAGAGAGTATAAAGCAAATGTGGGCTTAAATAACTTCCTGATTATTGGGAGGGGTAAGTGTCCAATCTGTCTATGGAGGTTTTAACATGCATCTTAGAGACATTGGTTTTGAGTATTTAGCTTGGTCTTGAGCTCAGAAGAGGTTTTTTGCCACAAGGACAGAAGCAGTGGAACAGGTTGCCCAGCAGGGAGGTTGTGCTGCCTCCTTGAAATCCTTGGAGGTTTTCAAGACCAGACTGGCTAAAGCCCTGAGGAACCCGGTCTCATCTCGTAGCTGCTCCTGCTTAGAGCAGGAGGTGTGTCCGAGACCTCCTGAGATCCCTCCCCAGCTTCAGTGTCTAGTGAGCCTGTGATCCTCATGTCCACAGGTGTGCCTGTGTCAGGCAGAGAGGGCAGATTTCTCCCTCCTGCGGGGGACCTTCATCACCCAAAGACTTGTCCCCCTGCCCTGAAGTGCTGGTGTTTGGATGCTGGATGAGCTGTGCTGGTTCTTGGACTTGGAGACTTTTGCCTTGCTCCTCTTGTGCCTCCTTTTGCCACCTTCACTCCTCTGAATCCAGTCAAGTCCCTAATGAATGAGACTAGTTTCCAGCTGAAAGTTTAGTTTTGAAGATGTTCAGTGGCTTCAGTCCTGTTTCTAGGACCAAACCTCTGTCCAGCAAATAACATTAGCTGTTTGTGCCAGGAAACTATGGTAGCACAGGGACTGAGCGAAGCTCTTTTGCCCTTTCCTCCCCAGCCAGCCTGGTGCTGGGTTGCCCCTTTGCAGCACGGTTGTTGCGTGCCCTGTGCCTGCTCTGCCATCCCTGCTGTGTGCGGGCATGGCTGTGCCAGACCCTGCTCAGGTCTTGGCCCTGCTGTCACCATGCATGTGTTACCAGGCCCCTCGTGTCTGATTTTTCACCTGTAAATGGCAGCTCTGCTACTTCTTGCAGACTATATTCTGTATAGGTGTAATGGTTTAGTGAACAGGGCTGCCTAAGTATCTGAGAGAAAAGGATGGAGAGGTGCACCCCCCATGCAGCAGCAGGAAGTTGGAAGTGACCCAGTTAAATGATGGACAATCCACATCTTTTGCAGAACCCAAGACGCTCAGTGCTTTAGTTCTCTTAAAACTCCTGGTGTTTGCTTGTTGTACAGTCCTGCAATGGAGAAGCAATGATTCCTGACTACTTCAGCTGGCACAGCTATTTAAATCTAAAGCAATGAAGAAAGTGGATTGTGTGTATGCATGTCTCTTTCTAAGCCCTGTTTCCAGGAAAAGGATATGGCAAATCCTGAGCCCCAGCCCTGGGGTGTTAATGTGACAGCTCCTGCCGGTAGCTGTGCGTATTGCATGCCCTCTTCTGCACTCTCCCACTGAGAATCGATAATTGAATTTCTTGCAGAACTGTTGTGTTAGTGTAGTACAAACTTCTACTAATAGTCTAGTCCTCCAGCATTAGAGGAGAGCTTTATCGATCCAGTAGGCTATGCCAGGCCAACAGCATGGCGCCAAGTTAAGACAGCATGTTTCCAGGTACATCTCTATGGAGATAGCAAGTCCTGTGGTGGAAAATGAAGAGGTGATATTTGAAATTGTGCTGTTGTTGGTTGCTTTCCTCCCGATTGTATTTGTACTGGCCCCAGGGTCTGCTTTTATTTCTTTGACTCTTCTTAAGCGAAAGGGACCAGAAGTGAGTCTTTGCTTCATGGCCTAGTTAGCATCTAGTCTGTTATGTGAACATTCAATTTTTGGATCTAATCCGGTTTGTGTGCCCTGTGCTAGTAGCGTGGGATAGTTTACTGGAAGGACAGGGAAGCGTGTTAACCGTCCTTGGTAAGTGGAGTTTGAGCCTTCAAACAGTGAATTCTCCGCAGCTTGGCTGTTCTTGTCCCTCTGTGTGAGACAGTTCCGTTCAAGGAGGAGATCATGGTACCGTTGGTGCTCTATTTTGGTGGAAACTGTGTCATTTCAGAAAGGGACGTACCTGCCTCAGACATACATAATCCAGGAGGAGATGATCGCAACTGAGCACGTCAGTGACATGGAGCAGCTCGGCTCCTTCATCTACCGCCTCTGCAGCGGCAAGGAGACCTACAGGCTGAAGCGGAGGAGTGCGAGGAGACGTAAGAGCCTTGCCACGTTCAGCTGTCCTAACTCGCTTCCCCCCCCGCATCACAGTCGTTACTTGTGCTGTTAACAGCCACGCTGGCCTATTAATGGCGAGAGGGGAGGTTTCCCCATGGGTACAAGCACACAGGAGATCTTTTGAGATGTTTCCCATCTAATTAATCTAAACCCAAATCTGGGATGCTGCTACTGCAAATGGGTGCTGGCTGCTGTGTTTCCATCGCTGTGTGTATCAGCCTGATAGAAACATTGAGAAAATGGTTGCAGGAGCCAGCAATTCATTTACATGTGGGTTCCCGGGGCTCAAATAATAGCAGTGTGGTTGGGAGCTGTTTGGAAGATTTCCCTAATGGAGACACCCGCTTCAGTGGCAGCTATTCAGAGCAGATTTGATCTTACAAATTGCCTTTAATTAATTAAGTTCCTAATAATGTGGAAAAAGTTGTGAAGAGAGAACACTGGACTATCTTAAAATGATTTAATGAAAATCAGCAATATGTGTCTTATAAACAAATTGTAATATTGGTGCAAAAACCTCCTTAATTTCAGTATTTGTGTTTATTTGTTTTTAGATACCGTTGTACTTACAGGCTTACCTGAAACATGAACTTATAGTCAGTTTGGGTTTGGATCTCGGGGAAACTGCAGGGTGCTGAGAGCATTTGGGTGCAGAAGTCACCATGGCTGTAGTTCATGGTTCCTTTCCCAACAGAAGCTGCACAATTGTGCACGGGGCTGCTGGCACTCTGGCTGTCTGCCACTTTCGTGGAGCCCTGGCACAGTCCCGCTTGTCAGCGGGGCATCACTGGGTTTGCTCTAAGAGGGGAGTAGCTGCCTGGCAGAGCTGCCCAGAGATGAGGTCCTGCAGTTTAAGGGCATGGGGAACATTGCTTGTTTCCAAGAGAGGCTGAGGCCATAGCAGGATCAGTGCATGCAGAGATACAAACAGCTAGAGGGGTGGCGATTTTAAGCCCTCCTTGGCTGCATTCAGAGTTGTGTGCTGTACCAGCCTGTGATTTCTGTTGGTTTCATGAGGCTTTCTGGTCTCTGAGATAACACTGAGATGCTGTCAGCTGAAACCAGCTGTTTCCATGTGGGTGCCCCAGCTCATGGCAGCTCTTACGGCAGGACCGTGGCCTAGAGAATGTGGCTGTTCTTCCAAAGACCAGCTTATGCTGCTTTTCATATGGGCTGTGTTGTTCCTGCATTTCAGCATTCAGTGGTTGCATCTCGTCTGCTTTCCTTCCCCCACTTGCCGCAGTTCTTAGAGATTATCATTTGTTGAATTTCCCCTCTCTCCTTCAATCACTTCTAGGTATCAGTCGACGCGAGGCTGGAAACTGTCATCGTATTCGTCACTTCGAAAACACTTTTGTGGTTGAAACTGTTATCTGCAAAAAGTCGTGAAGCCACTCTCCAGGTGTAACCTTCCTTGGCTTTGCTTGCACACACATGCTCTCAGCCCTCTATTTAGACATGGTAATCTGTCTTACTTTTTTTACTCCCTCCCCTGCTTGTTCAGCTCTAACCTCTTGGGCCTGTTGTGGCCTCACAGTGGATTCTCTTCTCTCCGTGCTACCTACCTGAGACATTTGCTGGGCTTAAATTTATACAGTGGTCAAAGATAATCTGCGAGTAGATGCAGCTTCTTCCACACCACAGGATGGGAATCTCTTTTGGGAGTGGGTGTGGGGTAGAAGGGATGGCCAACAAATAGGTGTGCTGGAAATAGGTGCTCTTTTCCTGGCTGAGCAATTTCAGGCTGGTGTATGTACAAGAGAAGGGTTACCATTTTGATGCTGATGTAATGACCAGAAATACGTAACCAGATGCATTAGGAAAAGAATAATTGTGAAGCTACAGACTGGGCGATTCAGAAAGCTCAGCAGAGGGAGGGTTTCTGGCCAAACCGTGCTGTGGTGGTCCCCGCTTCGAGTCATAGAATCATTTAGGTTGGAAAAGAGCTCTAAGATCATCAACTCCAACCATTAAAGCCTTCTGTCTGCTGTCCCCCTGAAGACCAGATTTTCAAACATTGAAAGCAACCACTATGTGTTGTTTTTATGACTGGCTTCTCACCCGCTGAGCAATGCAGGGTATCCTAAGGGGTGTTTGCGGGGGCAGGAGGCCGGGCAGGGGGCAATGAGGTGGGCTGGGAATGACACAAATGACACAGCATGTCCCTGCTCCCTGGCCAGAAAGCAGAAGGTGAAGTGCAAGGCTGTGTAGCCTTTTCTCTAACACACAGTTGCATCTGCTGTGGATCCAGAGCAGATCTGCTGTCACTTTGCCCAAGTAAATAAAGAGGTGAATCTTTGAAGCAAGGTGCCAAAGCTCCACTGATGTCCCATCTATAGGCCATGGCTGCAGGTGGAGCCAGGTGGTTTACTCCAGCCCCGTGTCTGTCCTGGCCAGCTCTGCTTGCCTGGAAAGATGAGTTATGTTCACACGGGTCTTTCTTCCTGAGTTGTCGAGATCCCATCTGTGTGCAGATGGGGTGCCGTGCCTACGTACAAAGCGGTGTCAGCAGCAGAACTGGTAGTTACTGGCAAGTGCAGAAGCAGAATTTTTAAATTTTTTTTTTTAACAGAGTATGTATTCTTGTATAACTCCTCTGATGAAAGCTGTTTTGATAGTAATTACTGTAGTCCAGCCGTGTATCACATTATCTGCAGGCACCATTGTAGCACAGATATTGATACGAGGCAAGATTCAGCTGATCATTATACTGCAGAAAAATTGTGTGAATAAAACTGCATTTCTATTGATCATCAGACAGAAGAATTGCAGAGTAATTAAATATCCTTCCCTCTGTTCCATAAATATAGTTAAAACTAATTAGATTCTTGAAATGTAGGCAGTTTTTTGGCTTGAAAGAATGGGGTGAGTTTCAACTTGGCACATTCCTGTTAATTGGTTTCCAGCAAATCTGGACTTGTTCACCATCTGTTGAAATGAGCTTGTTGTTTTAGAAGGGGAAGGATAAAGTAAATGCAAGTACAATCATTAACTCAGCAGAACCAAAAAAAGAGAATATATTTTAGAATAAAATTTTCAAGTAATAATACTGTGAGTTAGTTATGTGAAAATAAAACAGGATCTCAAAATGGTCATGTAATGCAGTAGGAATTAGTATGTCCTTTAGAGGCTGAGTATTTTTTTGTATAGGCATAGTCAATTATAAACATTAAGTTTTAACAGGTAGAGGAGGACACTTGGGTTTCATTCTGCTTTAAGCTTGATGTAAAATGAAGAATCATGTGCATTTCATGCAGGTTGGTAAGGAAAGTTTCCCACTGCCAAAGGGGTATTTCCTTTTCTAGCATTGTGTTTTTTCAACGATAACTTGCTACTAGCCCTCACCTTTCATTGCAGAGTGGATGGCAAGAAGGGTCAGAGAATTGGTTTGCTTAATGGAAGTACCACAAACTGGTAAATTTAAGCCCTGCATTTCTCTTCATTTCTAGGAACCTAAGCCTGCACTCAGGTGAGCATACAGACCTTTTTCCCCTTCCTTCTGGTTCTGCATGAATTAACTGGTCATTGAATATGCTAACTCTGTGCAATCCCGCAGCTGTAAGGCCAAACCTTGGTTCTTTAAGGTGAACTAATGTGGTCATTGTTTCATAGAATGAGAATGCAGTTGTCTAGAAAGAAAACACAAGATGCTTTGTATATTTTGTCTGGTAGGACTCTTACTTCCTAGGAAAAATCCATGGGATAATAAAATCTTTTACCTCTGATATGTAAAGTGTGTGTTTGTTCAGAATGAAAAGCACATGCCTTCCACGAAGCTGTCACTTGTGGGAGGCAGCAGCCAGATTGCCCTGGAGCGACCAGCTGGGTGGCATCTTGAGCTGGGCGGTGGGAGAGTGCTGTGGTGTGGAGGCCCTTCCCCATGGTGAGGGGAAAGCTGTATGGGGACGTGGCTGAGCCCCCTGCTGTTTGAGCCTGCCTGTGCCTGCAGGCTGCAAGGGGCTCTTCCCCTGTCCCTGTGCTTCCCTGGGAGACCTAAGGGCAGCCCGTGGTGGGGAAGTCACTGCCAAACAGGTCTGTGAAGCAGCAAGGTACCTCTGCTGCTTGGGTGTCTTGTGGGTGTCTGATCTTCACGCTCAGCCTTGCTTTTTCAGCTGCCTGACCTCTACTAAGAAATTTGTCTGTTTGCATGTTTGCCTAAGCCTCCTGTTGCCTTCTGGCCGGCTCTGCAGGGCAGGCCTTCGGAGGGCTGCTCTCCTCTCCTGGCTGCACAAGCGATGTGGGTGTGCTAGTGTTCTTCCGAGCTTTCTCTCCCCCGTTTTCATCCTTCTGGTAGAGAAGCATCAGAATATTGTTCCTGAACTCCACTGTTCCTCTTTCCAAAATGAGTCAATTGGTGAGGAAGTTCATGTTTTGCTTGTTACAGTCATTTTTGCTGCATTTTGCATTTATCTCTTTGGTATCTGGATGCTTTTTCCATTATTGGGGTTCTGCAGAAGAGATCTGCATCTTGCAGTAATTGTGTTTGTCGAAGCCTCTTCTCCTGGGTTTGCCCAGCCAGCTCTGCCTGAGGAAGCATCATCCCATGGGGAACCTGACTCCTTTAGACGTTTTCACATTTTGAAGGCTGAAATGGTGATATTAAGAACATGACTGATGCATTTCAGTAAATCTAGTTACCCTTAAGCGTAGCCCCTTCGAGACTTGTCCAGTGCAAAGAAAACCAGCTTGTATTGTGACATTTTGCATTTTCTTTCAAACATTCACTCTTCACTCAGGTTTTCTTTATTGAGGTTTTGCTAATTGCCCCTTGCTCCTAGGAGACTTGAAATAAGTCAATTCTTTCGAATGTCCCTCACACTCTCTGGCAGAAGGCTGCTTTATTTGATTGAACAGTGGCATGTATAAAAGCTTGGCAATAAAGTCTGCTTTAGGGGGACTGTGTGGCAGAGATGCAGTTTAAATCCTAAAATATGGGTTAAGCCTAAGATATGGGTTAAGCTGGTGCTAGCAGCTAGCACCTAACACAATTTACCTTTTATTTTTAGTACTTGCATATTGCAGTACAGCTCAGAGGTTGTTATTTAGCTTTGCCAGGCAGTACGAAGTAAGTCGAAATTTTGGTTTAACTGAAGGAGCATCTGCTTCCAGACTCTGGTGGAGTTTAAAAAAAAAAAGCATACTGGGAACCTATTAAATTAGCAGCTGAGGGGAGAGACCTCAGTGTCTCTTCTAAAATGCAGATGAGCTCTTGATTTGTCACAAGTCTTTTACAGCTACATTCACAGCCCAGTCTCACCACCTGAAATGCAGCCCATGGGGATTTCTGCAGACTTGGGACAAGAAGTGGTCTGGCCATGATGGACCACATAGGCTCCAGCAAGGAGGCTGAAGGACCTGTTCTTTCACCAGCATGATGGGGAGCCCATTTTTGGTGGGGGAAATAGCTGCATCTTGTTGACGTGTAGCACATGCATCTGGGCAGGTGGCAGGAGAGCTGCTAGGTCCCTTGGGAAGGGGCAGCCGAGCACGGCAGTGGGCAGATTTGTCTGCTGCCAGCCTGCTGATGCCATGAGGCATGGGCAGCTCTGCGCTTGCAGGCATCCCATGCAGCAGCTCTGCCAGGTGATGGCTGCCCGCTGCCAGCACGGATGCGGGGTGGCTGGTCCACAGGGTGTCCTGGGTGTCCGAAGGGCCCTGCTGCCCACACTGGCTTGGTATGGGCCAGCAGGAAGCTGCTTTCCACAAATAGCCTCTTGGGTTTGGGGATGAAGAGGGATTGTTGGACCACTTTTATGCTGTGAAGAATGAAAATAGCTGTCAAGTGTTACCCTGTGAAATGGCTCCCTGATGCACATATCTGAAAATTGAGCAGTCCCCATTTTATTACGGTTTATAAGACTTTCAGTTGTCCTTACTGGGAATTGACTACAGCCCATTTAGCTCAACATGAACAGCTGTCCGATACATTATGTTGATGTCAAGCTAATGAAAGCCTGTTCTCACTCTTACACATACTTATATATGTGCATTAGGATGTACAAGTTGTTCCCAAGCATTTTGCTGCCATTGTTCTGATTTCCACCCAGGGCATTATAAAAGTAAGTATTGTGGATGCTGTCACAGCTTCCCAGAGAAAAAAAGCCATATAATCCACCAAGTTAGTGTCCCTGGTCTCAGGAAAATGCTGATTTCTTGTCCTTTTGGTAAGTACAATTCCTGATGGTGGCATTCATGTCCCATGTGAAAGAGATGCCTCAAGGCCACTGGAGGGAATGTTTTCCTAGATTAAATGAACAGAAAGCAGAGTTTGAGGGGAGAGAGTCACTAACAAACATGGATTGAGCTTTAGTGAATATTTTCAGCTGAAAAAAAAAAATAGCATAAAAAGGTAGGTGGAAGCACCTGAACTTCCTGATGTTAAGCGGAAGCATTTGTTTTAATATTTTGGCAATTAAGTTATCATTTCTTATTTTGAAATAATTTTTATCTAAAAATGATGAATTAAAATGGTCAAATAACACGGGAATAAAACAAACACTGGTCATTTTGTGTTAAACAAAACATCGCTACTTTTTTTTTTTTGTGCTGGAAAAACCTGAGCTAAGGAACCTAATTTTGGTTCAGTCTGATTTATTTTTTTTTTTCTTTTTTAATTTGCTTTATACCCCAATGGGAAAAGTCCCTTATTTTCTATTCAGTATCCAGCTGTACTGCCAGCAGGGCCCAACGCGTCAGAAGAGGGAACTAGAGCTTGGAGCGACATTTGGACCATCCAACTTGTCATACTGAAATCAGGAGCCTGTGCTTCCTAGAGAGTAAGGGCATCTCTAGAGGATTATTTTGAGTGCTCAGTTTAGGAGTTTCTGCATACCTTGGTCTCCTAAATTAGACAATATGAACACCCTTGTGTGTCAGATATTTTTAATGACTGGTATTTTTTAAAACAAGACTGACTTTAGGATGGGGCGTTTCTTTTCCTGGCTTCTGTGTACATGGACCCTTGTCTGTAGGACACTTTGGCTTCTCTGCATGAGGACTAGACCTGCTTGCTCTGAAGTGCAGCTGGCTCTGACTTCCCCTGTCCACAGGTAAGGAGGAAAGCACTGAGCAGAAGTACCAGTTGGGTGTCCCTGTGTGCTGGCTTGTGGCTGCTGCTTTCACAGTCTCTCTTGTATTAAAGGAAAAACCTCTTGATTTAGGTTGGAGCTGCCTCCACAGCAGCTTCAGCTGATCACAAAGTGACCTTCCCCATCCCCATAGTCTCCTTTCACATAGCCCCATTTCCGTGGGGTCCTCACAGCTCCCAGGTGGATCTTGTGGGGCAGAGCTCTCCCTGGCGAGGTGGTGTCAGGCAGTGCCCTATTGCAGATGGTGGTCCCCAAGAGGTGTCTCCTGACCAAACGACTGCAGATGGGAGCTGCGCAGCTCAGCCCAGTGCCTCAGCCCCTGCCCTCAGCCTCTTGGTGGCTGGACTGTGAGCAATGGCCTGCTGGAGGCAACGGAGGATACTTCAGAGATGATAAAACATGCAAGGCAGCCTTCCAACTGGAGGACTGGTTATATACACTTGCACACCGCTTCTGTAGGCAGGTCACGTCAGAGGACGGGCTGGAGCTGAGTGCGTTAGGCAGGAAGAGCACGTGGTGCAGGGGCTGCTTGACAGCTCCCAGCACTTCAACTCCTTCACTCTTGCAAAAATCTTAAAAGAAATGGGTGGGTTGAAGATTCAATCATATGCTTCCTTAAGTTTGCTGAGAATATTTGCTCTGGGATTATTATTATTCATAGTGAATGTGGAATGTGTTTGTGCCAGCTCTAATTAACCATTCTCGCTAGCACAAAGATATTCTCCAGTGGAAGTCAGTACGTTATTCTATTCATTTGGATTAATTAATGTGAAAAGGCCAAGTATGTAATTTCATACTTGAACTTTTAGATCTGTGTTTGAATTGAATTGAAATAATGTTACGCAATGATTGAAATATTCTCATGGTCTGACTGTGGAAAGAAGTTTCAAAAAAGAAGACAACTTAATGTTGAAGAAAACCATGTTAATGGTCTCTGTGAGGGAGTATTGGAAAAGTTACCCTTTAGAGAAAGGTTTGGACCTGACACAGCTGTGGGTTTGAGTGCTGAAAGCAGCAACTTTAGGCAGCATTTTATATGAATTGGCTGATTTCAGTTTGGTCTGCAAATGGGCTGATCATTTTGTAGGTCAAATATTTGGGGGCAGTCTACTAGACTGATGTGGTGATGTTACCTAAGCTAAGAATAAACACTGGAGGTCACTACAAAAATGCCCAAAAAACAAACAAAAAAATGCCCAGAGAGGAATAAACCATGTGCAGACACCTAAATCTACAGGCTGGCTTTAAAATTAGCTGTGACTGGCTTTGCATGGCCACCTGCATCCCCAGCTCCTCATGGGGGAAGCAGGGAAGGCTGTGTGGGTTGGCACCCTCACACTGCCAGCTTGCTCATGTTGCAGGTTGCACAGCTGATTACTTTTGGTTTTGCAATGATTTTAGCAGGATCTGAGAGCAAGTTAGGGCTGTCAGACTAGCTGAGGGGCAAGGGAGTAGGGGGCGCAGTGTGGGGGGGCTGGGTGCTGGCTCTGAACTTCAGAAAGCACTCCCCATTGCTACTGAAGAATCCCTGCATTATAAGGAGCTTTTAATATATATTTCAGCCACCCCTTCAGGTGTGGCATGGTATGTATACA